CCCGCAATATGGGGGGGAATAGTTCGTCGGCGCTAGAGCCGGCGAGGAACTTCTGCCAGCGGCTCTGTCTTATGGAAGGGGGCTGTTCGCTCGTGTACAGCGGCCATGAGTCAGCAGCGACCAACGCCGACCTGAGTTAATGGCTGACAGCGAGAGTGATCGCGTGCCTCGTCAACTACAAATGCTTTTTTGGCAATACTAGTTGGTGTTGGCTGGTGGACCCCAGTATGCGCTGTGGTGCTGGTTGTTGGTTATTGGGCATGCTAGGACAAGACAGGCATCTAACCAGCACCGCTAGCTGCTTTCTTTTTCTGTTGGCCCACGGAGGCGTCCAACCAGACCACCACAGCAAAGGCGGCCGCGGGACGGGAAGGGAGGGAGGGTCCCAGGTGCAGCTAGCTGGGGCCTTCAGGACTGCTGGAAGCCCAGACAGGCACGCGACCAATTTCTTTTTATTGCCTGCTCGTGTTTCTGGGGTGCGGTGCGGCCTAGCTGCAATACAATTCCGCAGGTACGGTTGGGTATGGTCTCCCATGTATCTAGTAATAGTCCTTCAGCCTTGGCGGGAGGGCCTGGCTGGCCGAGCCCTTGCCGCTGGCCTGGACTGAGCTTTTCCCTACCGTTTGCCTCCTCGCTCCTCGCTCGGGCCTGTTGGCGGAGTTGCTGGCCAAGGGGCTTTTTCGCCGTCGACGGTGGGTGGCTATTCCGACGTGATCTTGGTTCTGCCTGGCCATCTCCATATCCATCTGATCCCGTCTTTCCCTCTCTTCTTCTCTTCTCCCCTTGTAATCCTCTGCTCCTTTCTTGCCTGTGTAGGGAGGCCCCACGACGCCGGCTTCTTTCCTTCTGTTTTCCTTTCATTGTTCTCCTTGGCCCCATTGATCTGTCTCGTCGGATCTCCACGCCTTGACATCATCGTACTCGCGCCAAAAATACGCCCATTGCCTACTGCAGGCATACATACATCGATCACGATCGACTGGCTGGTTGGCTGACACTTTCCCATGGTTTCTCCCCGGGAAAGCTGCTTCTGCTCCTTCCCCCCTGGCCTCCTCCCCCCGTCAACACTCGTACCCTCCTTTACAGCATAGATTTCCTTATATTCACTGGGGGTTCATCCTCCTCCAGCAATCGTAATTGTCGTACGCCCTCGATAGATTCCTGGGCCTCGAGTTGCCCAATATGTTTTCTCTGTCGTTCCCGCTCGCTCCCCTCATATTCACGAGCTTCTGCTCCTCGCTCATATTCACCAAATTCATCACTCTCGGCACACATTTTCACGCGGTGCCGTTCCTGGCCTTCGTCTTCTACCTGCCGACGTTTTTCCTCTTCGACTTCATTGCGATATGTTTTCTTAGATTCCTCCTGAACCCTGTACGCGGTTGGTTCAGCCTGTTGGGCTTCATCATTGGCATTCTCATCTCGTAAGTTCTTTCCGGACTCGTCTCGCACTGTGATTCTTCTCCCGCGTCTTTCCTTGATACCTAGAAAGCAAGCTCTTCTTGGTTTTTCTGTCTTCAACTTTGGGTTTGGGTGCATTTGCTCCTAGTGACCGCTCCTGGGCCGTTAGCTCTGCGACAAGACACCCCTGATCGACACCCGCTAAATCTAAAATTCAAACCGCCAACCTAAAACACGACGGAGAGCGATGGAGAGACATTTTGCTAACGTTTTCGTGCCCCTGCGCGCGACAGTCTCTTTACTCTGTGTGGTGCCGCCTCGCAGCTGGGTTTCTTCTACAAGACGGGTGGTGAGCTTGCCTGGCACGAGGCAACTTCTTTCGCAACCAACAAGGATGGGTTGAAGGTTCTGCTTTCCGGCAGCTGGGCGGTGCTCGCCTCTGCCGGCCTCCTCCTGGGCGTTTCCTTTCTCCTACAGACCCTCTGCTACCGAGTTGTGGGCGTGTTCAACTCGGCACTTGGCGCAAACTTCATAGTCCCGGTCGCGCAGTTCGTCCTGACCAGATGCCAGAGGGCGCAGTTCCATATTATCCGGAAGACGCAGTACTATCTCCTCCGGGGACCAGCCCACGATGAAGAGTCGGAAGTCGGGTCCATCAACTCGGACCTCCCAAGCAGCGTTGATTCGGATTCCGAGTCGCACACTTTCTTAGGCGACGGTGAGAAGGACGAGGAGGGTGGTAGCCGCGGAAAATTGGCACGAATGATTATCCAGATTCGAGATTGGTGGGCCATCAGAGTGGCTGTTGTGCTCTTCTTCCTCGTCGCCCTGCTTGTTCGCCCTCACCGGCCATACGACCACATGTCGATCACCCTGCCAGTGTCAATGCTTAACATCTTCAGGCCCGAGTCGGACTACTGCTCTGAGCAACGACGAATTCACGTTAATCCGTTCCCTTTCCCGCATCTTCTCTCCGAAAAGAACTGGGAGGCGCCCAACGAGTACTTCAGGGGTTGGGCTCCGGGTGCGCGGAACGAGCAGGTCCTCAACTACCGATATTGGAATCCTGAGTGGATGCCCGAGGAGGTTCACCGGGGATTCGAGAGATGGGATCCCAGACGATTCGAGAAGATTGGTCTTCCTCCCCCGCCTCCTCCCTTCGGACATCACGGACCTGGTGGGCCTGGGGGGCATGGAGGGCCTTGGGATCATCATGGACCAGGAGGTCCTCATCACCCGCATCACCCTCCTCCTCCTCCTCCTCCGCCGCCGCCGCCGCCACCTCCGTTCGGTGGTCACCACCATCCTCCTCCTCCGCCTCCCCCGTTCGGTCGACACCCTCCTCCACCGCCACCTCCATTTGGACATTTCCCTAGGGACGGGAAGCATCATCATCCTAAGGGGATGAAGAAGCAGATGTGCCCCAGCATCCCCGAATACTCACCATTCTACAACCCAGTTGACGACCCATTGAAGATCTCGAACCTGGACAACGACATCCTCAAGCCCCTGAAAGGAGCTCTATCGGACGGTTCAGTCAAGATTAAGCATGTTGTATATATCCTGATGGAGAGCTTGCGCGAAGAGCTCTTCCCGCTGCAGCAAGACTCTTTCATCCACAAGATCATCATGAACGCGAACGAGGAGGAGGAGAGGGACGAGATGAACCGCCGCCTTGCGGACTTGACACCCCATATTGAGATGATCACTGGTGTAGCGGGAAATTTCAGGGCCGCCAATGGGTCTTCGTATGAGCGCTCGAAGCTCAAGTGGCAAGACTCTAGTAAAGAGGGTTTCGGAGGTATCAACATCATTGGAGGAACGACTGGTTCGACAATGTCCACGAAGAGTTTCGGGACCAACTTCTGCGGCACGTGGGGTATGCCTGTTGAGAAATTCGAGGAGTACGCGACGGACAGCTATCAGCCTTGCCTGCCGCAGATCATGAACTTCATGAACGAATTCAAGAGCGACGACAACAAATCGGACGACTACAGGGAATGGAAATGGCATCCCAAGTTCTTCATGTCCGTCACGGAGGGCTACGACCACATGGACAAGTTCGACCGCAAGATTGGCTTGGAGGACCGGGTGTGCGAGGCCGAGCTCAAGGACGACATCGAGCGCAACGTCACGAGCGGCGAGGGCCAGAAGATCGGCTACTTTGGCTTCGCCGAGCCGATCCTCAAGCCCTACATCACCGACTACCTGACCAACGCGACCAAGAACAACGAGCGCATCATGATGGCGCACTTCACCAGCACCACGCACCACCCCTGGGAGCTGCCCTCGTACTTCAACATGACCGACTACATGCCGAGCAGCGGCCTGCAGAACTGGCACAAGGACTTCAACAAGTACATGAACACGATCCGCTTCCACGACCTTTGGATGGCGGAGCTCATGGCGCTCTTCGACGAGCTGGGCATCGCCGACGAGACCCTGATCGTCTTCGCCGGCGACCACGGGCAGGCGTTCAAGGAGGACGCCCGCAAGACGGGCACGTACGAGAACGGCCACATCAGCAACTACCGCGTCCCCATCACCTTCCGGCACCCGCACCTCCCGCGATACCAGTACAACGTCAACGCAACGACCGTCTCGACCCTCCCCACGATCCTCGACCTGCTCATCAACTCGGGCTCCCTCAACGACAAGGACAAGGCCGTGGCCTCGGACCTGATCCAGGACTACGAGGGCCAGTCCCTGATCCGCCCGTACAAGACGAGCCACAACGGGCGCCGCGCGTGGAACTTTGGCATCACCAACTCGGGGGCGGGAATGCTCGCCGTCACGAGCGCCGACTCGCCGTGGAGGCTGGTCATGCCCCTCGACAAGACGTTCGAGTACAGCCTCAGCAACCTCGAGGAGGACCAGCAGGAGGAGCGCGCGCTCACGGCCTGGACGTTCAAGGACCTGCTCAAGAGCGCGAAGAAGGAGATGGGCGACGGCGCGGTCGAGTGGGCCAAGGAGGCCGAGGCCATCGGCAAGTGGTGGAGGAAGGACCGGCAGCGGTTGTGGCGGTATCACGAGATCGAGGAGACATGATCATAGCGTGCATATCTCTTCTTCTGTTTCTTTGGACAAAAAGACATGTTTTGTTTTCTGGGCTGCTGGTTAGCATATGGGTTCATCAGGGAGTTTTGGGATATGCTTCTCCGTGTTGCATTTTTTTGGATTTAGCTTTGCATATCACTCGGAGCGGTGCATATGGGCTTTGCTTTCTGAAGGAAATCTTACATTAAATCATAATACATGTTGATAACGATATATTTCATAACTAGAAATTGACCTCTCTTACTGTTAACTGGCTCATCCCTCCTACAAGACTGTTTTTAACTACCTACCCTATCAATACGTAACTTGTAGCTTCGGTTATAAAAGGCAATTCAAACCCAGGGTCTTTTTAAGATGCCCAGATTAATAGAGGAGAATGTGTCGTATTTTCTTACCATTTTCAGACAGATCCCGGTGTAGAGATCCGATTACCTGATGCTTATCTCTCGACTATCCCCACAGCAGGTTCCCTCATATAACATCGCCCTGACACCATCGGGTTGACGTGCCGGACACACTGACAAACAGTCAGTATCATCACCATGGCTGCCAATTACCCTCCCGAGAAGCAGCCTCTCCAAGGATCGCAAGATCCCGCTCCAATTCCACCGCGACAGAGGCACCGATGCGCCAAATACTGGGCGCTGCTCCTCCTAGTCCTCGGCTCCTGGTCCATGCTCAGCCTGCTACCGGAAGATGGTCCCGGTGAGGCTTCTTCTCCCAGCCCAGCAGCAGAGCTGGAGGCGTGCGCGTGGTCGCACCTAGAGCAGCACGCACCGCTCCTCGACGTGCCGCCCATCCCCAGGTCCGAGTTCCTGCGGCGCCAGGCCACGCTGGCCGCCGCCCTCGAGGCCGCCGGTGTGGACGCCTTCATCGCCGAGCCGTCGGCGTCCACGGCCTACTACGCCAACGTCTCGTCCAGCTTCGACCTCTCGGAGCGGCCCTTCCTGGTCGTGATCGACAGGGAGGGGGGGTTCACCACCCTGGTGCCCAAGTTCGAGGTCGGGCGTATTGCTAAGCTGGAGATGGTGTACGACACGAGGACGACCGTCACCTGGGGCGAGGAGGAGTCGCCCTACGACCCTCTGGTGAGGACTGCGGGCCTGTCCAAGGTTATGGTCGACGAGCACGCCAGGTACATGATCGTGGCGGGCCTGCAGAAGGCCGGGGTGGAGGTGGTCCCCATGTCCGACGCCGTCCAGTCGCTGAGATCGGCCAAGACCGATGCCGAGATCGCCATCCTCAAGGGCATCAACGTCTTCACGCTGGAGCTGGTCCGCTCGCTGCAGAAGTGCATCCAGGTGGGCGCGACGCAGGAGGCGGTGGTGGACGCCGCGCAGGGTCTCTTCTCCCGCGCCGGCGTGGGCGAGGGATACTGGTCGATCGTGCTGTTCGGCCACCAGGCCGCGTACCCGCACGGCGGCGAGAGCGGCCGGACGCTGCAGGACGGCGAGTTCGTCCTCATCGACATCGGGTCGATACTCCACGGCTACGGCAGCGACGTGACGCGCACCATCCTTCCCGTGGGAGCCACCGTTAGCGACGACCTCATGGGCATCTGGCACACCGTCCACGCGGCGCAGTCGGCGGGCTTTGAGCGCATGAATGTCAATGAGACGTGCTCTGACGTCGATGCGGCATCGAGGGCTGTTGTCGAGCAGGCTGGATTTGGTCCGTTCTTCACGCACCGTCTGGGCCACGGTCTTGGTCTCGAGATGCACGAGCCGCCTTATCTGAACGGCGCCAACTCCCACAAGCTGAAGGTTGGCGAGGTTGCAACAAATGAGCCGGTAAGGAGACTCATCCGTGTTTGATTTTCTTTACGATGGGTACTAATGTGATGATAGGGCATATACGTGACAACGGAGCAGGCAGAGCTGGTCGGTAAGAAGATTGGCTTCGGGGTTAGGCTAGAGGATCCGATCCTCGTTACTGAGGCTGGCGGAGTGCCTCTGACCGGACGTAGAGCCCAGTCTCCATGGGACCCTTAGGTAAATGACCACTTGGCCAAGACTCGAGAAAAACTACGAGTATTAAGCTTCCTTGTAGAAGCTAGAAAGGCATGTTGCAGCCTGTACGATTTGGCATGAAAGTGTCATCATCGCATATTACCGAATAGACATAGATGGCTATAGATGGTATATATGGCTTTATATTGAGAATTCAGTCCCTAACTTAGACAATGCACATCTCATCCAACAATATCACCGTTCTATGCTGTCTACAGCCAGATGCGCCTCTTAGCGGCATCGAGCCAATCAGAGCTCTCTGATCTGCTATGCATGCGCTAAAACCGGGACCCTCAAAACCTCCACCCAAAATCGTCATCGCCTGGCTTTACTCATCGCCATCGTCATCACCTATTTCATCGCCCTTGTAAGAATGTATTAATATAGTTAATCCCACAGTTCCTTCATATACTGTATCATATAGATAGCAGCCATGCGTCCCCCTGAAGATTTTGAGCTGGAGGCACTCATCGACAATGAAGAGGCCGATGATCTCCTCTCAGCACCAGATGCTCCACTGTCTATGCCTGCATCGCCAGACTTCGGCGCCCATCACCATCACCAACAACCCAAATGGCTCACCCAGTCCCGCCATCGATCCTGGATCCGATCTTTTCCTTCAAAAATCATCGCAAGAGTTTGGCCCTTCCTCCGGCCTCGCCTAACATGGCGCTACATCCTATCCTCTCTCGTCACCCTCTACATCCTCTTCTGCTTCATCACTCGCCAGCCACTCCTCGCCTCCAATCTGCCGGGCTACACGGGGACGTACGGCGTCGGCGCCGTCGATGTCGAGGTACCCCTTCCCGGAGGCACGAAGCGCATCTCGGAAGCCGCCTTCAAGAGTTCCGGAGATGCCGCCTTCGAGGTTGAGACCGTCCTCGTCTCCATCTACTACCCAACCAGCCGCGAGTATCGCTCCCCCAAGCCGCGGTACTACTGGATCCCCAAGCCCGTCAGCCTGACTGCGGCAGGGTATGCCAAGCTCGCCCATGTAGACAACTTCATCATGCGGCCAATCTTCACTCTCTTCCTCTGGGCTGTGGGCGGAGGCATCACCATCCCCGCCGAGGTAGACGCACCACTGCTCAGCGCAGACGAGATCATCGTACCCATCACCCCTTCTCTTAAAGATCGCGGCGATGCTCCTCACAACACAACATTCCCCATCACCGTCTTCTCCCACGGCATGGCCAGCTCCCGCACCGACTACACCAACTTCCTGGGCGAGCTCGCCAGCCGCGGCCACATCATCGCCGCAGTCGAGCACCGCGACGGCTCCTGTCCCGGCTCCCTCGTCAAGCTCGACCCCAAGGACCCAGGCCGCCGCGTCCTGCCCCTCCGCCAGTCCGACCTGAGCGAGCCCATGGACACCCCGGACCTCAAGCGCACCCAGCTCGCCTTCCGCGACGCCGAGATCCTCGGCGCCGTCCACCTCCTCCGCAGCATCAACGCCGGCGACCCCATCCCCAACTCCCGCGCCGCCCTCACCACCCTCCCCTCCTGGGCCGGCCGCCTCAACCTCGACCTCCTCACCATCGCCGGCCACTCCTACGGCGCCACGGGAGCCCTCCAAGCCCTCACCACCGTCGCCGGGCCCAAGTCTTCCTCCTCATCCTCCTCCTCAAGCGGTGACGAAGACACCCTCCCAGCCTCGGCGGGCATAATCCTCGACCCGGGCAAGGGCTCCGGCCCCCTCAACCACAACACCACCCAGCCCCTCCTCGTCATCCACTCCAACTCCTGGTCCCGCCCCTCGAGCGCCCTCTTCCACGGCCGCCCCCACTTCGACACCGTCCGCGACCTCGTCGCAAACAGCCCTTCCCCCTCCTGGTTCCTCACCGCCATCGGCACCTCCCACCCCAGCGTCACCGACGCGCCCCTCCTCGAGCCCCTGCTCCTCAGCTGGACCACGGGAGCCGGCCTCGACGTCAGGGGCGCCCTGGCAGAGTACGTCGCCGCAGCCGCCGACTTCCTCGCCTTCGTGCCCACGGGGTCCGTCAGGGAGGGGTCCGTACTCGCCCAGGCCGCCTCGCATCGCGAGTACGACAAGTGGGTGAGCAAGGAGAGGAAGGAGGAGTTTCCCAAGGCCATGGCCAAACTGTGGGAAGTCCACGTCAGTCCGGAGACGAAACAAGGATAGACAGACTAGAGTATAATGGGGGATCATTCGTTTATTGGGGCGGCAGTTTGGCTTGTACATGATATCACGATTCGCATGTCGCTCTCTCTCTTACATAGATGAACTATTACGCCTTTCAAGGCTGTGACATTAATGATTAAATTATATAACCACGCCAAGAAGAGGTGCCCTTCCTTTCCCTCTTTGATCTATACTCGGGCCTTTGATCTATACTCGGGCCATCGATGTAGACGTCTCTATTAAGAATAAAATCAAAGTATTCGTCATCCTTGTGTCCGCCACCAAGGAGTAATATAAGCATTCCTTCCTCGACCATACATGGTCATGACCGACTATTACATTAACGAGAAGCCAGTTAATCATACCCTCCCAATTACATATTTGATGCATTTCCTAGGTCTTCGTACAGCTCCCGGGCTCACAGGAATGCAAGATGTGAGCATTCGCTCTGGCTCAGCGGCGTAACCTGAGGCGTCTCGCGCTTGCGGCTGTTAAGGAACAACTCAACCATCCGTTTACTCCCCGAAACCTGAGCTTCAAGCTCTGCACTAGCCGGGTCTCGCCCTCTGCGCCCGCGAATGCTGCTCGACGCCGTACCTGGAGAAGGGGTCGAAACTAAAGATTTCGCCTTTCCATCCTCCTAAGGTCTGGGCGAGCCCGTCACTATCTTTCCGAATTGCCTCTCCACAGCCCTAGTCAGTCCGGGACTTGACTTGGCTGACAAGTCAGAGTCTTTCACCAAACGGTTTCGCTGTCGTCGCTTCATGTAAAGTTGATCTCTTTGAGACGGGCTGGAGCCATGAACCAGCTGGTTTGAATTAGCCCGAGGGTTGGGTTGTTCATTCTCCAAAAGCTGTCCTTTCGCTGCTCCTGAACTGGTTTGCTTGATGCGCTCCGGCGATGGGGCTGAATTTTCTGGGTCACAAGCTTCGTCCGTCGCTCGCTTTGATGGCTCTATTGGCGACGAGCATCCAAAATCTGGTGAGCATTCTATTTGAGCCGTCTCTCTCACATGGTTTCCCATTACCGAGACTGTCGGTGTCGCTTGAAGGGTAGTTGCCAGTGCTGCTGGAACCGTCTCGAGTCTTGCAATATCTGTGCTGAGAGACGCCTTCCATTCAATTGAGCTTACTCCCGAGACCTCTCGCTGACCTTTGCAGTTCCAAGGATCTTCAGTTAGGCTGGCAAAGTTGGAAAATCCATTTTGCCCGCAGGCATTGCGAGAAGAAGGTGGGTTAGGGAACGCCGAGAGAGTTTCTTCTCTCTTCCAGTGATTCTCCGATTCATTTGCCACATCAGGAGAGTAGATGCTCTCCATATCTTCTCTGTGCTCCAAGGTCGGAGAACCGCGGCTGCTTGGTTGTCGGGGTGGGAGTGTGAACTTGGATAACGGAGCAAGATAGTCCGTAGAAGTTGTAGAGCGACATTCGGCACTGCGCTTAGCAGCACACATGTTTTCGCGTAAAGCTCGTCTAAATGGACTGGTGGTTCTGAACAAATGGCTCGAAGGACTGGCAAAGAATGCCGAGCTTCTATCCACCATTTTCCTGCGACAGCTCCCCCCATCTCTCGAGGTTGTGCTGAATGCTTTCTCAGAATGGTCTGGCTGGAGATATTTGTTTCCAGCATCCAACTTTTGGGCTTCTAGCTCTGGTCCGGATGGCTCCGAGGGCTCGGGGTCGGATTCCGAACCTCCAAGTATGTGAGAGTCCTTTGTTGCACGACTCTTGTCCTGGAAGACATCATCATCCCCGGCGCTCACACAACGGATCGTTGGTGGGGACCATCCACATGCTCCCAACTGGTCAACAGAACCGCTTCGCGATTGTGCTCTCCTGAAGCTTCGCATACGACCACTTTCATGCTTCTGTAACCCGTTCTCGCCCTCCCTGGCCACATTCTCCCCGCTGGCTAGTTCTGGGTAGGTATGATGGCAATCGACCCCTGCGTCCGATGACTGAGGTTGAGAGAAAGCATTTGTTTGCATAGTGGATGCATGTAGCCCATTTTCTTTGATCACTGAAAGGCGCTTCCATTCCCGGTCGCCAAACCCCGCCTGACTCCCAAGAGTGTTGGTGAGAGAATCAGTCCAGCTTGTCACACGAGACTTTTCCTCCACGCTGGCTGTTTCCTCCCAATCACAGCTCTCTATACTGACACGGCAAGATCTTATGTGCTGGCTTGAGGGTATCGCGTGCAGTGAAGCAATTCTAGAAGCACCCTCAGACATAGATGCCTTCTCATTAAGATGTGCGCCTTCAATATGATGCGAAACTTCATCGTCGGAATGCTGCGAGGAAGCAGGTTCCTCTCCCTCCTCCTGACTAGTTGCATCGCCTTGGGAGGACTTTCGATTGAAAAAGCCCTTGATCTTGCTTTTGAGTGACCTTGAGACTTTACGAGCCGTGTTCCGCAAAGCGCCCTGCTTGGGGACAACTAAAGTCTCGCCTGATGGTGAGAACGGCAAAGGACCCGGCAAAGGACCACTGCTGTTACTGCTGTTTCGTAACGAATGGCGAATTCCAAATGAGCCATCCATCCGACGAGTCTTGGACCGAAAGAATTCTGATGGGTGAGGCTTTGACCGGGACTGCTGCTCGACCTGTTGCCGGAAGGTGTCTCGGGCAAGCTGCACAGCCAAATCATTTTGCGCACGGCTAGTTGCCTGAATCACAGGAAGCTCCTGGCGGCTTCGGAGGAAACTCATCGATTTCGGAGCACGCAAATTTACTGGTTCGTCTCTCAGAGCTATAGTGTTCTCTTTGTTAAGCGCATTGTATTTGAAAGTCTTTGTCCCCGTCCATTTTCTATATTTTTGGGAGATCAAGCTTCGGTGGCC